CACACACACAAACACACACTCCAAATGATGCACAGCATCATTCATGTCACACCAGTTGTGTCTTAAAGTCTCCTCTTTTGTGTTTACATTCATTTGTTGGGCAGTCATGAGAAATGCCAGAAAGCCCTGAAGTGTTTGACCTTTAAACATTTAGCTGAGTACTATTTTAAAGCTACAGCAGGCCTAAAGCTCAAGTTTGCCCAGCAAATGTTGAACACCACTCGTACACAACAGTGTTAATCGGACAGCATTGTTCTCTTTTGTTTTCCCACCTTATCTCTGATATGCGTTAAAGAAAACTCCATCCTTAAACTGTAACTGTTAAAAGCTATTTGTGATGCACTTTGCATTTCTGACCACATGGTTGTGTAGATTAGGTGATACACAGCTGAAGTGATGTGTTAACCCTAACCCAAACTACGCTGGAGTTCATCAATATTAGACAAGACACAGGCTTGTTTTGGTTTCAGCCCGTCAGAATTAAGACATTATTTGACATAATAATAAGAGCTAAATACACACATTTCTCCACTAACACTACCATAGACCATGATGCACGACAGCTACAAGCCCCAGTTTGTGCCTTTGATGTATTAGTGTCAGGTCACAGTGGTAAGAATCTGTGTCTCTGAAAAACAAATGAGGATGATCTTTAAAAAATTCCAGAAAGTCATTTCAACACTGTTGCACTGTTGTTGTTCTGAGAGTATTTCCAAAACCCTCAAAGAGTCTTTTAATCATCTGGATGAATAACAACGTTCAGCCCACTGTGCAAGTGGGCTACAAAAAGGATGTTTAACATGTTACTCAAGTTGCAGCTGTAGACAAATATAACCGATGACAACATGTTTTAAATTTTATTCACATTGTATAAATTCAGCAAAGACATTCAGACTACCATCTTTTTTTTTTTTTTTTTTCAGGATAGGAATATTTTTTCATCCAGATAGTTAAAAGAGTTTTTGAGGACTCTGGAAATCTCTGGACACCTTCAGAGCAGCAGTAAGTTCTGTTGAATGACTGCTGGTTTTTTGTAAATATTTATATAAATTTTTTAAAGAAACAAATGTAAATGTGACTTGAACTTACTTGTAATACATGAGATGCACAAACTGGGGCTATGCAGCTACAGTACCTGATTTAATTCAGAGATAAGATTCCTAATTTTTCGCAAAAACCTTCCCTCGACTATCGTTATCACTATTGCTGTCCTTCTACGTATAAAGCTAACTTGTTCAGTCTGCTCCCTCAATGCATTCAGGGCAATTATGAGAATCAGTGTATTTCAGTACAATCTAGTTATTTGAATCGAATAATCTGCTCATATTAAATTATGAGGAGGGCATACAACTATAGTTGAGGGATTTTTCTTTCTAAATCAAAGTCTTCTTCTACTGTTCGCCTCAGTCTGACTTCTGCCATCCTCATCTTGTAGGTCTTCAGTATCACAGGTGTTTTCTGCCAACAAAGTGCCAAAAAAGAGGCAGATAAAATATTATGCTGTGGTATCAGTTGGTGAGTGAAAGTGAAGCAGATTGGGTTTTTTTTATGGTTTGAAAATAGAAACGTATGGCCTTAATTTGGAAGTGATTTCTGTTTTCTTTTGCCTAAGATCTTCCTGTTAATGTGTGTCTGGCCCAAACATCCCTGACTGAGAAGCCTTGGCTTAAGGATCAATTTAAATTCAGATGCACTTTTACGTATAATGAATGTTGTGGTGGGTTTTTTGTTCTCTTTACCAAATTTGATTGTTTTTGTTTTTGTTTACTTAAAATGTGAATTTGTTTTAATCTTTATTTATATCCCCATGTCCATTCCAATTAGATTTTATAAGCAAATATATATGTATAAATATATTTTTTATATTTAGACTGTGTCAAATCTAATGATACTTTCAGGACATTGTGCCGTTAAAAGTAAATCATTGAAAGCAGCTGGTTTTGCAGACATTACAGAATTGGGGTTTATAAATGAAAAATGGGTGGAAAACTAACTCTGGCTGCCTGGTTCTTGTTGCAGCTCAAAAAAAAACTTTCCACACATCCTTAGCTATACATTTAGATGACAGTATTACCTGACAGGTTACGGAAACCTTGCATCATTTGGCCACATCAACAAGGTCTAATGAATGAAACGTTTAAAGGCTTAGCCTCTAAAAGTAACTGCACATGAGTGCGTGATCTCAGTGTTACTGTAATTTAATTAAAGGGTGTGTGCGAGCCAAAGACGAGCAGAATCGGAGCCAGTGCTGGATTTCGGAGTTCCCTTTTCAACCCAGACGACGACTTTGTTTATCCCAGGGTTCAGACAACAAGTCCAGTATTGAGTGATTTTCTGAGCAAAGGGCTTACTGCTGCCTTAAGACTAATATGAGAACTTTCTATGGGGCTGCTACGAGTTAAAGGCAGCTAAAATATGTTCAGTGTTGAAAATAATGCATTTTTAATTAAAAACAAAGTAAGATAAAGAACCCTGTGGTAAGCAAATGAGGACAACCTAGTTTAGAGATCTATTATGTAAATGTATGATTATATATCATGACAGGACTTGCAGTGCAAAGTCTAATGTATCAAATTTATTTTACAGCAAGAAAAGAATAATATGTTTGATGACAGTGTTCATATATATATATTATATATATATATGTCATGCCCTTTTTCCAAAATAAATAAATTGTTTTTAAAAAACTGTGTCAGATTGTGGCTTGTCCCTGGCTCAGTGAGTCCAGTGTGTGAAAGGACACAGTAGACTGAGCTCATTGTTGGCAGTAAGAAGCTACTTGATTGATGCACTCCTTTTTCCTCTCTTGCTCTCCCCTCATTTTGTTTCTTACTCTATTTTTTGCTCTTTTTTCTCGTCTCATGAAGAAAAACAGGAGGCAGACACAGGAAGGAGAGACCTCTACACCCGTGTCTGGCTGTGAGATGGGAAAAGAGATTGTATAGAACAAAGGGCCTTTTTCTTGAATTGGCATGGCAGAGATGCATTGCTTTTGACAGGTTTGGTTTTTATTGCCTTTATGAATTGATTCTTTCTAGTTTGCCCTTCTGTTTTCACAGTACACAAGGAAAGAAAGTTCAAGACTGTCAACACAGTTACAGTGGATAATCCGATTTTAGACTTTACAGTAAGAGCAAAAAGGTCACTTAAGTAGTATTTTTCTGTTTGTTTTCACAATAAAGGAGCTGCAATGGTCGAGTTTACTCGTATATGGATATTGGATATTATCTCCAAATGAATCATATCCGCTCTACCTAGTAAAAGACTTCTTGGAAAGCAGAATTAGATTGTCAAAGAAATTATACCCAACATGCCAGAGGATGACAGTTACAATGGTATTTTATAATGTCCATCATATTGAGCCAGAACAGAGGAAGCTGGTAGTGGATTAACATTCAAGGCCAGTGTTAATGTCTTTGTCTTCCTCTGCTTTCCTCTTGCTCTTTAACCGTTAGACGTGAAAGAGTAGGATCTGTTTGAATTGTTTTTTCCTGAATCCAACATGGATGGATTGCCTAAAAGTTGGTACACACATTGATGTCCCTCTCAGGATGAACTGAAATTACTTTCTTGATCCCTCACTTTTTTCCTCTCGCGCCATCATCGGGTCAAAAATTACTTTGTTTTTTTACCAAATACCCACAAAACTAATGACATGAGCCTCAATTGTCCTCTGTGTTAAAGGTCCAGTTTGTGACATTTAGGAAGATCTACTGGCAGAAATGGAATATAACATCCATAGGTATGTTTCCATTAGTGCGTAATCACCTGGATAAAGGAATCGCGTGTTACCTTAGAATAGGGTATTTTTAACTACCTATGACATGGGTCGCCATGGATTTCGCCATGTTGTCTTGCCTAAAACAAACAAACCCTGGCTGTAGCGAGGGCCTTTCACGTTTTTAGCACATTTAGCAGCCACCGTAGTTTCTCCTGCACACATCATAGCAAATTATCATTCCAAGGTCATCAAATAAATACATGAGCTAGTTGCAGTCTGCAACTTCACTGCCAGATGCCACCAAAAACACTCGATACCTGCTAAACGTCTATATGTTAGCATTGCCACTTTGTGCATGTTAGCATTTAGCTTAGTTAGTCTTTTATCATCTAATTTCTGGCATATAATCAGCTACTCTGATTGTATGAATGTGTATCAACAATCAAACAGGAATAAGTTTGAACAACACTTTACAGTCTGAATGCTGTGTTTGTTATGCGATGTGTTTGTGTGGTATGCAGCTCTCTGTGTTTGGTATATTTGGGCCCCCAGCATTCCTGCTGACAGGCAGACTGAAGCTTCGGGCCTGAACCGGCTCTCCACCAGCCCTCTTTGTGGATGCACTCTGTGTGGGCCTAGTGGTGCTGAGTCATAGCTGGCTTGTCAGTCCCAATTATGCCCCCTTGATTTTCATCACAGCTCATTCCCATGAGGCCTTGCTGGTTCAGCATCAACCAAGTATTTAGCAGTGTTTGTTTTTACCTGCCATGTCTCAGGGTTCATAAATGCACATGAGAAGTCCAGAGGGTCATCAGCACAAATGAACCACAAATGCGTTGTGTCAGTGATCCAGCCAAGCACAACACATAGGTTAAAATAAGGTGTGGTAAGTTCATAAAGCTGTCTCTTGAACTTTAGTTAGGAGTTATTTTGCAGATTAGGTTTAAAAAGGAGTCAAAACTAAACTAATGCATTGTTATAGATAAAACTACCCAACAGAACAAAGCAGTCAAGACTATTTTCACTTTCACCAACTACAACTTTAAAATTATGCCTAAAGTATACAGCAGGGGTCTCCAACCCCCAACATGCATGTTAAACTGATGCTTTCAGTAGAATAACAGCAGTGTGTATTTTCACCTTTACTCATTTTACAGGGTTAAACTAATTTGATTTGAAAATTTCAGATGTGGAAGTTATTTTTTCTCTCTGCTTGTGGTATTAACACTGAAGGATCTACTGCAATGAAAGGAGAT